TGATGATCTGTACACGCAAAAATAACTTGGAATAAACTGATAATCAGCATTGTACAGATAAAAGCAGGTATAGTATAAATTCAATTAAGAAACCTTTCAATTTGGGACAGTTTTTGATTGGTTACCCACCAAAGACGCAAGGCATTGTGGGGAAGTGAAAGTAGAGGRTACGCCCAAGCTGAAGAGGTCTATTTGCTGAAATGACCATCACTTATAATGACAATGATAGAACGTTTGCATGATGGCGTCATTTGACAACCAGTACCATAATGCTTTTCGCGAATTTTCTTTCTTATTTAAATTTGTATTCCCTCATGAAAATAGCAAGACAATTTTAGTTTGAAGAAGAATAATGGCCTCCATAACACAAAAGAGTGGGGGGGGGAAAGGCACAACAGCATTTTTTTTTTTTCGCGTGCTTTTGTTTTGTATAGATAATCACGCCGTTTCAAGTTCAATTTGGTATTAATTCACACGAGTGTGTTTWTCAAAGAGTTGAAATTGCAATCTAAGCAATCGAATGCAATCTAAGCTCTTTAAAAACACACGAGTGCGAAAGAGTCTAAAAACCGTGTGTGATTAATTCCTTAGTAATGAAAAACATTACAAAAGGAAGTGACGAAATATGCTAATCTGAGAAACGACGACGCGCGCATTTTAATCCAATCCATAATATTACATGAATCGTTTGCTTACAACCAACTGTATTCAAAGCGATTTTGGTTTCAAATACATGTTATTCGAAGAGTATTTGTATTTCTTTTAACCCAAAATGTGGCTTTATCTCTATGGTAAAAAGTTATTAGGTCAAACAATCTGAATAACTATGAATGAAGCCAGAACATTTGGACTTCGAGTTCATACCACATACTAAATTTAATACCTGACAGCTGTTGAACGTGTTCAGGAAACTCTTGGGATCTCGTAGACCAAAATATTGTGTAAGTACTTACCACATAGTGTTTTTAGTCTTGCTTATCTTGCTTCGTTTCTGTTTCAGTTTTTATTTAATTCAGCTTGAAACTGCTCGAGTAAGCTTATTTGTTTTGATTCAAGTTAAGCTTATTTCTTTTCTTTTTTCGTTTCTTCAATACATTCAGCCTAAAAGRTGTACTCTTACTTGTGCTTTCATTTTTTAAGTCATTTTTAAGTTATTCGATGGTAAAATCAGTAACATAAGCGAATCTTTGCTAACTTATAAAATGGCTTCCGTTTTCCCCTTGATTTGCTTCAAATTTCCCGCAAATGTTTCGTCATAATAATCTGTCATCTTATTGGCTTGAATAATTTGCTGTTATTTTTTAGCCAATCATAAGCTAGATTCTTTTGTGAATGTGTTCTACTTTTTTGCACTGTATTACACTTGAACAGCAATGCTCTAAGCCAATCAGAATTGAGTAATTTTTTTCATGTATAGCTTGCTATCAATAGACGTCACTTCCGGTAACAGCTGCCTTTTTTAATGGCTTGTAGAATTTTGGAGGTTGTTTTGATTTCTTGTTTTCTGGTTTCATGTCGTAGAAATAGTCAAATACAATAGTTTGAGGACTTATTTTGACATGTTTTGACTTAACATCTGCTAGTTGCCCCCCAGTCAACCGCTTGTTTGCCCCCCAGTCAACTCCAAAAAGTCACGTGATTGACAGTAAGCAATATYATCATTACCTATACTAATTTATTAGTGTTATACTATAAAGTCGCTTTCTTGCAAACACTACACACTTTCATTCACGATCTAGGTCTATTAAACCTCGTACTCCCCAAGCAAAACTTGACCAAAAAAAGCTTTAGATGGCGATGAATTTTTTTAAAATCTTTTTGCTCTTCCCTCGTAGATTTGGAGCTTTTAAACGCACCAAGACTCTACCAACAAAAAAATATACTCATACAACAGCGAGCGCGAGAATCGAACTCAGGACGCACAGTTGCGATATTTCGGCCCGTTGGCAGCGCACACCAATCTAGTAATTAAATACAATATGGCCAAGAAAACGGCCAACGCATTTGAATAGTTGCGAACACGTTTTCGGATATCTCCAAATCTCAGCTTTTTTTTCATTCTGCTTGAAAARAAAATTCAATCAAAAAAGGGGCTAAATTCTAGAAAGTTCTAGAAAGAGTGTGGATTTATTTTATATATGATTTGAACTTAGATAGACCAGCCATATTATTTTCAGTGCATGCAACAATTTCGTGTTCAAGATGTTGTATATCTAATTACTTTGAACCACTTTAGTCTAGAACCTCATAATCCTGTAGGGAGTAAGCTTAATTAAACGCGCAGTTGGGAGATGCAAACACAACCACCACATTTTCACAATTAGGTTAAAAATGAGTGCAATATTTACCGACTTTACCTGCATTCGTGTTTTGACACAATGTAGAGAATAGTAAGGTCAGGAAAATGAACATTATGGAAATATCCATGTTTCTACAAGGGGCTCTGGAAAATGATAACATAAAAAAATGAGATATGGGGAAAAAAATGCGATATAGCGTCGCATTTTCATTTACAGGATAAAAAAAACAGATTGAAATCAGGAAAGAAAGAAGGAAATAAGGAAGGAAGGAAAAAAGGAAGGAAGGCAGAAGGAAGGAAGGAAGGAAGGAAGGAAGGAAGGAAGGAAGGAAGGAAGGAAGGAAGGAAGGAAGAGGGGAAGGAAGGAAGGAAGAAAGG